AAATAGTTTTTAAGTGACAAAAACACTTATGACCGGCACAAGTATTTTAAATTGTGCGTTACTTCCTCGAATTCACTTGGTTTACATTTATTTTTTATTTTATTTTTTAACTTTCTGATCACGAATGATCATAGATCTTATTTCACTTAATTGGATGTGTAAGTACTATATTGTACAAACGAAATACTTAAATAAGAAAGAAACTGCATTTTAAATGTATAAAATTATACAAAAATGTATGTATGATAAATTAAAGATAATGTATAATATAAATCTAAGCAGTCGATATTTCAGATAATATGATTATTTATTGTAACTATTATTTATCATAAAATATTTATACCTTTAGACCATATTATATTGTTACAACTATTTTAAAATACGTGTGTACGTAATTTCTAATCAAAATATTTCAGTAACATAAAAAAAAAGTCATATAAATATCATTTAATTATTAAATATATAAATATATAAATTTCACACGTATGCATTATTATGCATATTAATTGTTTTGTTTAACTATAATCTTAATTAAAATATTTGATACCTGTATATTATATATTATAATGTAACTATAGCGATTCAACAATACCAACAAACCATAAAAAACACTTATCGTGTCCGTTGTCCTTAATGAACATTTTATTATAAATATATCCAACCATGACGCAGTTAAGAAGTTTCTTAAAATTATAATGATTTAATCCTAGAATATATGGCCCATATTTATTCACATATATTATCCCTTTTATCACTTTCGCTCTATACATAACAGTAAAAAAAATGGATTCAGACATATATATTTGTTTGTTCTTGATGAACAATATGACTGGGGGGTCAATATTACCCCGATGGGACGCAAGGGGTTTGTTGGGCGGCGTTGGTGGTCTGACGTCAATGAATTCGAGCGCCGCCCACAATAACTAAGGCGCGTACTTGCTCATCGGATCGAAGTCTCATTCAGCAAGGCCACAAGTGTCAACGGACATCGGTAGTCTTCCTGAGTAACTTTAAATTAGAACTTTTTTCTTCATTTTTAACAGTTTTTTTTTTTCTAAAAATAAATCATTGTATTTGTATTTTAAATTATTTTTCTTTGTACTATGATGGAACTCCGTAGAAATGTCATCAGGTAATATAGTCATTTAAAATAATCAAAACAAAATCATTGAGATGAGATCATATTTTAACTATTCATTTTAGTATCAACATATTACTTTCATTTTAGAACATTAATCATAATCCTGTTTTTTAATTTATTTTAAGCAATAAATATACATTGCTTAAGACAAATATTGATGTCTCATATACAGTTGTAATAATTAGCATCTATATATAATATAAATATTGTGTAATAGAAAAATAGTTACAATATTTATATTATAATATGGTAACTTTTATAAAATACTCCTACAGCAAGTTGTACTTGGTTTAATTATTTTTATTATTGATAATACAAGCTAGCTGGTCTAAATTAATTAATCTCTGTTAAGATATGTTGTATAGGAACATATTATTCTTATATTTTGAACCTATATTAATGAGCTGTATGTTGTATGTTAAATTATATTTTAAGTTCTTCGTCAAAGTTTTATTTGCGATGTAGCGAAATAGTATAAAGTGAAGTGTAAGTATTATTGGTACTACAACAATTTAGATAAGATATTATTCTATATATTATTGTTTACGTTTTATGCTAGTTGTAATTTATAAAGCAAGTATTATTCGTGGTAAAATAAGCAACTTAACAATAACATATTTTAACGAATAAAATCGAAAAAGACATTCATATAATTTTCTTTTGCTAGGGAAAGTATATATATTTTAAAAAATTTTCAATACCTACTACTGATTTTATAATTTTGAGTATCATTATTTTACTATATTTCAATGTAATCGAAGTAATATATTATATTATACTATGTAATTTTTTTCCGGTAGAAGGAAAGCTCCAAAAATGCCAATAGCCCTTCTATAAATTGGAAATTGATTAAAATGAAATACTTATATTTAAAGTAGTATATACCATTCTTGTAAAGTTACATATCAATGTTTAACACATTTTGAAAATATGTTTACAGTTATGTTTTAATGAATCCAAGGATATCGTTTTGAGTAATTTTTAATATGATTGAGTTTTTTGAATCTCAAAGATGTATAACTATAATGTAAGACTAATATGAAATCTAATATTGTTCCAATTAAACTTAAAAAGTTAAAAATTGATACTTGTATTATAAATTTGGTTTATAGTACCCATATTGAAAATTACTATTTTACGTGTTTTAAAAATATTATTAATTTATTATAATAAAGTAGTATATATTAGTCGGTTACTATTTTAAATTATAATTATTGTTTATGTAATAATATAATTTAATGTTTTAATTACAGCTGAAGTATTTCTATAACTATGTATAATTGTATGATTTAATTTGACTTTAGTTGATTGTATGGTGGTATCACATGAGCCATAAGTCGTGTTTTTGTGTTGGATTAATATTATTTTTATAACTTCTATCACTTAAACAATTTTAAAGCTGGATATTATTTACTTTTTTATTTATTTATTCTATTTTTATCTCCAACACGATGAAAAATTATGTTGAAAGATGAACTTGTATTCTACAATTGGTAAGGTAACATGGACATAATAATACGTTCCGCCATTCGTGGAATTCATTACATTATAATAATTTTAAATTTCGTCTACGTATTACTGAAATGAAATCTTATTTAAATTATTTGCCGGAAATACGTAATTTAAGTTTAAATAATTTTGTTTTTTGTTTGTTGTTCGAGTATTTGTATTTAAACGTTGAAACGAATCCAGCGAACCAAATCTCTCAGTTATTCAATAAATTAAAACAAAAACCGTAAATGAAATTTAAATAATTAATATACATGTTTCAAAAGTCTGTGTGATAGTTTAAATATACTTTTTATTAATCATATGTTAAGTTAACTTTTAATTTTAAAATCTAATCGATTCAATACCATCATTGCAAATTCTCGCATAAGTATGTTATAAAATACTGAATTACCAATTATAAACATTTAAATGCTTATAGAATTTTAATTTTTTATTTTTTACTGACCTTACCTTTTTAATGTTTTCGAACAAAATGTTTGTCTTAAAATAATTAAATGTGTATTGGTGTTTCATTATTGAAACATTGAATCTGTTAAGGTTCTTTTTTACTGTTACAAACCACATTATGAATTACAAAGAAAGTCTTTTGAATATCCATTAAAAAAGATTTACTATTTTACTCAGTTATCTTGTGTATTTCGTATGTATATGAAACTCACGTAAAGATGTGTTCCGAGTATTTGAGTGACAAAAAACCGCAATGCGATTTAATAAAAATAATAATTAGTTAAAAATAATGATTTTTACGAGTTTGTCAGCCATTTTGTTTTTTTTAAACTCTCCGACCGAATTCATTTACTCTACACACATGCCTCACACTTGTGTGTGCACAATGATATTAAATATATTATGCGTGTTTAGTGTAATATTATATAAGAGCCGAAATGCATGATCACATACCATTGTTTACAGACAGTTGTTATCGTGCTGAATTATTATTAATACAATATTATAATATATATTCTAACTAAACGTTTTTGATTATTCGCTACAATAATGAAATATCGAGCACTTATTTTTCAAGTCCATAAACGTCGTATTTAAAACGCAAACGAGTTAATTATATTTATTTTCTGTTCTTTTTTTATATTTTAACATTCATATACGGGCTTCTCTCACTTATGTTGTAAATAAATTTACGGAGTCTGACATTTTGTGCAGTGGTATCGTTTCCTACATGATGCTGCCAAACAAAAATGCGTCATCTTTGTTCGATTAAATACTGTATCGGTCAAAATAGCTTTCACATAAACTTAAGGACATTCCATTATCAAGTATTTTAACATATTGACTGCACAAATTTACTTATTGTACAAAGTATAAATGCGCACGCACATACACACGTATACATCATACATACCCATGTGTAATTTGTGAATTCAATTATTTTTGAGTTGGATAGTTTTTTGCCGTGATTGGGTTGTATGTTTACAGCGTCTTATCGAAGATGAAGTACAAAAAGATTCAAAAATATTATGTTTATATACATGCTAAAAAAACTATAATTATTATCAATTTCTGACATAAAGTCCAAACTGTTGTTGACATATTATAGGGTATTACATATTAGATTATTTGTATTCTTTAACAAATCTATAACTAAAAGTTTTTATCAAAATCATAATTTATGTTTTTGAATTCAAAACGGTTAAGTATGTTTTTATTTTATTAAATTTGTTATAGATTTTATTTACTTGTGTTATGTATATTTCTAGTATTACAAGAAACTTTTATTATTTCTCATGGCTTTTTATTGAAATTAAATAGTTTTTGTCACCTCTATGTTGGTATTAAGTTATATAGCTGTCTGCACGTTGACTATATTTCCACGGGAGCTTTTTAATTTTATTAAAACTCGTAAAACGCGTCATACTAGGAGTTGCCGCCGAATAACATATAACGTGCTCTTTAAAATATTGTTTTTATTTTCATACAATTATTCATTACGGTAATTTTATTTTATTATTTTTTTTTTTTTTTAGTAGAAATATTTGCTCTATCATTTCGCGATAACCTATTTGTATTTTCTCTTTCCTTTCAGATGGACTTGAATTTAAGAAGCTGACCTATTATATTTAAAATGCATATATAATATATATACTTAATATCTATGTAAATTTATTATTAACTAATATTATACAAGTGTTTCAATATATATATATATACTCCATTAGTGAATGAAAATAAAAACAATGTATTTGGCGTATGTATTTGTATTTATAAAACATTACTGCTTGCCTATATTATTGTGCATCACGGCGACCGATTTAACAGTGTTATTACGCTGCGTTTAGCAATACCTCCTATCGTATCAATATTGATAAATATCGTTTTTGTGGTATTTCAGTGAGCCGTTTGCATTGCGAGAGCGAATCGTTCAAAATGGAATTGATCTTGGATATCAACTCGTGGATTTATCCGATGGATTTGGGTGAGTGTGCTTAACAACGTTTCCACGTATACTTTTTATATTGTTTTTAAGGTTCTTTTGAAGTAATTAATATACATTTATAGATCTGTTTACCACTAGTATATTCAATTAAAATTTTCTCTTACGAGAAAAATTAAAATATGCTGTCCATTTGCGTATCCACAACAATCTGTTGGTTGTTATGTATGTGCTATGTGTACAATTCAACCAGTTACAGATTGATATAGGAGAGAAAAAGTAGTCGTGCCGCAATATTTAAGCTACGCGTGATAATTTAGATTTCTCAAAGGCTGTTGCAATTATAATCATATTATTCTCGATAACAATTAACATGTATTTATATTCATATGTGTGTACATAGATACAGCTCAACGGGAGGGAATCGATTTCCACAGACCTCGGCTCTTCGCTTCGCGCGCAAATACGCCGTACGAATAATTGAACGTTGGTTGTAATAATATTTTCAACTAGTTCGAATTTATGACGCGCAGATACACTGTAGTTTTAATTAATATACACGTACAATATGCGCGATTGCAACAGTTTTAAATATTTGATTAAACTGCAGTCTTGCATTGGCATTATCGTATGCGTCATGCGCTGTACGATGTGTACGTCCCAGCGATACGTTGTAATGAATACGTCACGGTCGATTGATTGCTGCAGGAATAACTCAATAAAAGGATATATTCGGGTGCGTTGTGTACCGTTACGAAACGATTGCAAAACACTGCGAAAAGACCGAATTCCGAAACGTACTGTCCCGGTCCGCGTTGTCTCGCGCGCGATGCACGCAAACGTTCAGCAGTGTACATTCGACCGTAAAATAACGTATCCGTTGTTCGATACTGTACGGTTCGGACCCGGGATTTTCGCGCTTCCCCGCGACGACAAGATTGCAATGTTTGGACTTTGATTCGCGTACATTTCGTGTGAATAATGCGTAAATGTCGTATGGTCACGTCACAGCAGTGTTACAGTATTTCAAATATACGTGCGCGTACCGCTAACATTCTCATCTCCGTAGCCGGTGGCGTTATGGCGTAAACGCCGGTGTTGTGCGTGCGAGAGCAAGAGAGAGAGGGAGAGTGAACGTAATAGGTACGTGGACGAGACATCAAGCGGCAGTGAGAGAAAGAGAGGTCACTCAGTTTTCGCGCACGCGCGTCCGCCGAACATCGCCCAAGTCGTCGTCGTCGACGGCGGCGGCAGCGGCGGCCGATATGGCGGCAGCAACCGGGGCGCCTAGAGTACTCCTACGCCCGCCCGCTCCCCCGTTTATTTGGCAAAACGTGCGTGTGCGCCGCTGAACGGGAGGCCTCGAATGGGTTGACGCGAAAGTTTTCGACACGTACGTTGTTATCCGCGCACGCGGGATTTTCGAAAACCTACCGCATTGTCGTGGAGTCGTGTGCCGTGCCGCCGTTGTTGTACATCATTGACCATCGTCGTCACCGGAGAGAGCGGATCTTTTTTTTTTCTGCAACAATATAACATCACCTCCGGCCGCCCGACGCTTATCATCATGACCACCGTCAACAAAGTGCGCGCGATCAACCAGTTTACGGTAATAATAATAATAATGTACAATAGTTGTATTGCGTTTAGAAATAAGGGTGCAACGTGAAAAAAAATTAAATAAATCTAAATTGAATGTTTGACTGGCATTAGAACACACATCGATGTTGTACGCGTTATTACAAGCGTATTAGCACATTAAATCGTATTAGGATTTCGTTCGCGCGATCGGTACACTCCGAGGGAACACGCCTACCGCGACGAAAATACTCCGTTACCTGTGTTGGAAAATATGCTCGTGTTCGCGTCCGGATTTCATAACGTACACGTCGTGTACAGTACACGAAACGTATCTTTCTGCCGCCAGATAATATACGTATTATCATTATTATTTACGCGCATTTTTCGATGATACTCGCTGACCATATCGTCACGCGACAATCAGCGTTTTGCATACGTTGCGGTACACGCGTACGCCGAACTATTCGTATTGCATTGTTATCATCCCGTACACACTTGACCAACGATATATGTCTCCGACGTGCGATCATCGTTTGTAACATATGTTTTTTTTTATTATTACTGCGTACGACGTGTTGTGCTCGTGAGGTGTTGCTTTTTCGTTTTCAATTTTTATCCGTAACGATCGGATTGCGTACACGCGCATCGCATAGCAGATGTTCGTGTGACGATTTAATAATACTTCTCTTTCCCTCTTAATTTATACATTAAGATTAATGTATATGTTTATATATATATTTATGTGTGTGCGTGTATATGAAAATACTTAAAGGAATTTCAACTGCCAAAATTTCTTTCCGATTATCCGATTTATACCGAAAATAAATCATTATCCCGCGCTTATATAAAATCCCCTTGACGACGGCTCGACCACCACGAGACCACAAATAATAATAATAATTGGCTTTATTCACGTACATCTCTGATTTTTGCCGACATAGACTATTATTTTTCACACGAAACGGTTTGAAACGCATAAATTATTAATTTAAAAGATAAAAACAAATTTATCGCTTCTTATGGTTTAAAGCATTTTTTTTTAAATATTTACAATATTACAATTTTATTGGATGCAACTTCATTAGTATCTGTTGTTTCGAATGATTTAGAACGCTGTTTTATTTGCAATTTTAAGTTTGTATTGTTCTATTTATTAATGTGTTTATATATTTTGAACTCTATAATTTATACTATGTGTATTATCTATACATTAACCGAGTCCATTGATTTGGTAATTTTTGCAAATTCGTCTAATTTATGAACCAAGTTATTTGTTTGGTATGCTGATAGATTAATAAAATATCATATTAGTTATTTTATTTCATTTTTGCTAACGTTGGAAATCACATTTATATAAATATGTATTCATGGATGTACATATTTTTTATGACAATCATTATAATTTATAAATATAGTCGATTGCACATAAATGGTAGTTAAAATAATATTTTTTATGAATAATAACGATGAATAAAAATGTTTATACAAATAATATGAAATCAAACAGTTTTAAATTTAAAAATAACATTTTTCATTGCAATTTGAAGTGTTTAATGTTACTCTGCGCTTGAGTTTATTACTGTATAAAACTATAAAGAGGTCTTCAGGAGCGATGATTTATAATTGTCAAATATGAATAATTCAAACAATTGCAGATGAAAAGTACGCTGCTATGTGTGCAGAATTCTAGATTATTTACATTATTTGATCATAAGAACACATTATAACGATAAAACAACAACAAATTGTTTAACCGCTGCAGTATTTCCGTTTTCACAAGTTGTCATTAGTTTTTCGACATCATTGAGCGATCCTTTTTTTTTTTATACAGTAAACAACTAACCTCGCACTTGCTATTAAATTGGAAACCAAAAATAAAATTTTTAAGTTTTACATGATTCTGGTCCAATTGCAAAACTGTACCGTTGCCAAAATTCACATGTTTTGCGAATATTTGTCTGCGTGCCCATCGCAACCGCGGTTCCTTTAAATATTCCGCGTGTCGTACAACATATACGTTTACGTGTACATTACGTGACGTACACAATTTTTGTGATATTGTCGTCATATACGTATACACCAGCGCATGTTTGTATACTATTATTTATCTAAGATTTGCGTATACACATACGGTCGTTTTCGCCATACACCCACGCAGTTGGTACTACTCATACGTTGCTTACGTGCCTACTTACCATACGTTCGAATACAAATGTGTGTGCAGTAATTCGGTACGAAACTGAAGTAAAGAAAAATTATTTCGACCCTATGAAACCGTTGTATTATAATATATTTATATTATACGAGTCGCCGTGTTACGAATGTACTCAAACAGTAAAATACAAATTTTATTTCGTTCGGCCCGCGGTGGCAAAAGTCTAAACGATATGTAATGATATTAAGAGTCCACAACGTCCAAAACTCTTGCGTTCTTATAATTGAAACGGTTGTTTTTGAGTGTATGTGTGTGTGAGGGGGACTGTCCGCTGTGCGTTTCTTTTTTTCGCGCGACGGCGAGTCCCTCGTTTGAAAGAAAAATAACATTATCCAAGGTTGCCGCCGCCGTCAGCTGCTTAATGGTACAGTGTGCGTCGCACACACCATCGGATCGATTCGCAGGCCCCTTTCCCTCACACATTTTCCCGACTGCTCCCCTAGCCCCTCTCCCCTATTTTCGCCCGCCCTTAGCCCAAGCGTGCGCACGTACATCGGCGGCGGTCGGCGGAATGACGCAACACCCGGCGTAGTGTGTCAGGTCTCTGGCGCGCCGGTCCGATCGCGCGCCCCCACCACCTCCTCTGCCCGTCACCACCGACGAAACGACGACCCATTCGCGACCCGCCGCGTCGCCAACCCACCATCCCGCGCGCTTCGACCGCACCACGTCGTCCGGCGGTTTCCATCGCAATTCGCAATTTCAAATGTACTCCAGCCCGCCCGCTCCGCTCGTCGTCAATTTCAATGCCAAGGTTATAGTGGCACACGGGCGGTTCTCAGTGCCAAGGTTGTACATAATAGAACGTTGTCGTCGTAGTCGTCGCACAACGCGCGAACACTTCCCCTCCGTCCGTACATACATGTATATAACACTCGTGTACCCGCCGGCCGTCCTCTCCCCCTCCACAACGGGGGGACACTCGGTCGCTTGGTGCGCTGCCGGTCGCCTCGTACTTCGCTGCTCCGCGTTAGAAAATTCGCGAGTTCACCCACTCCTCCTTCGTCCGCCACCTACGTCCGCTTTACAATTACGTTTCGTATATTGTACGTCAATAATAAACCACTGCGTATTTATACATACATCACGATCCGAAAGATGTCCATCTGTTACAATGCATACAAAACGATTAAATTTTATTTTAAAGCGTCGGACATTTTCCTCTGATGGGTTTTTTTTTAGTCAACACATCACACAATTTTACCGTTTGCCGTAACCTTAAAATGTTCCTCTTGTTCGACTCACATTTCTTGTTCCGGAGCAGAATATTTTTCCGAAAGTGTCTGTGTATATTGATATCGATTTGCATGGCATTGGCTTTGTCCCTCGAAATAATGACGCACTTTTTGACTCGCCTAAACGTAGCTTATATGGTTCATCGGATATTTCAGTTATAAGAAGTTATAACCAATATGACAACAACCGTACTTAAATTTTGGTTCGACATTCGATTTTTTACGTCGATTTTTAGTGCAGTCATTACTTCAAATTGCGTATAAATAAAAATAATTTGTTCAACGGATAAACTTTATGGAACTAAATAAATGAGTGCTAATTTTTCTGTTTTTTTTTTCCTGAATAGTTTATGTAAATATATACGTGTGTATGTGTATAAATTATTAAGAGTAAATTATTACAAATTATACAATACTGAACGTGTCCGCACCGTCGGGGGCTCCTCTCTCGTGACTTGAAGTTTTTTTTTCAGTTTAACTAGGGCGTGTATATTCGCTACCTTTTGTATCACAATGAAATTTCTTGCGAAAACACCGACACTGCACGGTCTAAGCATAATAATCGGCAAACGAAAACCATTATTTATGTATAACCGTAGTGCGGTCGGTTGTTAGAAACTGTTGGTAAACCGCTGGCACTGTATGTGTTGAAATAATAATAAAGACTTACGAAAACGTAGCATTTCGATTCGCAGAAATGTTTATTATTGATTCGCTGTGTAACAAAACCCTGCTCAAATATTTCATAATTTGTTGTCGAAAATGAATAATATTTCTAAAGAAAGAGCATGTCTATGTTATATAGATTTTTGATAGGTATTATTCTAGATATTTTGTTTGTTTAAATGTTACTACTATACATACCTGGTTAACAATTAATGTTATTTTCGTATTTCTACTCAATTCTTTCACTAATGATTTATTTTTTAAAAAAATAACACTTTCAATAGTAATACGCATTTATCATTAAAAATAATTTGATCCAACGAATTATTAATTCATATTATTTATAGCTTTATATATTAATAAGTACTTGTTTATAATTATTTTATAGTGAAATATATTATATTTTCTATGACCTTTGACTGCGTTATTTATTATATTATTTAATGATAAAACATTACAAAATTCTATTTGGTTCGTAAACAATTAATTGAAGAAAAAAATTTTATTACTTCATCTGTGGTTTTATTATTTATTTATTATTCTTATAAGTTATAATAATAAATTATTATCATATTCTTATCATTATTAATTTATTGTATATCATCACTAAATACTGAGTGAAATTATAACACTGAAAATATTTTAGATAATTATACTTAATACAATATAGTCAATATAGTCCAGTCATTCCTAAACTGTGAGGAGAGCGTCCATTGGGTGGCGTAAGCACTTATTGAGGGAATTGCAATGCAAATATTTATATTGTATTTAATACACTATTATATATTTATTTTTAGATCGAAGGTAATTTGTTTTTATTAAAATAATAAAAAAATGTTGTTTTATTTATTTATGAGAGATTAATTTTTTTTGTTTGGAGATGCGTGAACTAAAAAAGTTTGGGAACCACTAATATAGTCATACTTTATATTTCTATTAATTGAAATGTTTTTACTTCCGTTTTTTTTTCTAATAATATTTTATTAAAAACAACATGAAATATTGATTTCAATAGCTGACCTCAATTTATCTACCCTTCATTTCAATCAAAAACTATTCCTGAATAATTTATTTAACTTTCAAAGTTAAGCCAATGTTTTATGCATTTAGGTTCTCTGCTTTTTATAATATTAATATAATTTTTGGGTATGAATAAATTAAGTAAGGAGAAAGGTATAATTAAATAAGATGTGGTTAGAGTATAAGATAAAATCATAAAGACCTAAGTAAAGAGTAAGTATCAAAGTAGACATTATAGATAGTGTAAATACTACCAATATAAATTATGATTGTTGGATCAGTTATGGGTTTGAAACAAGGATTGAAAAAAAGCGTGGTCATTATATTTAGATTTAATTTAAAATATAATTAAAATATTAGTCGTTTAAAACTAAGTAAAATGTTACAAATAAATATTTTCTGAAAAATGAATCGAAAAATCAATGTACATAATGTATTATTAGGTTATTTCACACTGCATAGTAGTAAATATATATAATATATATATTTACTATTTTGTATATATATTATATATACCAAACCTTTACTTATAATTTAATTTTCTTAGATTTTATCTGCACTACTTTTTTTTTTTTTTTTGGTATAAAGTAGTAATAACATCTTAATATTCAAAAACTATGTAAAAATCTAAACAAAATAATGGTTTTGACCAAGTTTACTAAAAAAAAAAATGTCCAAAAACCAGTTTTCTTTAAAGAATTTAATTCTATATTAGTGAATAAATATGTATAGATATAATGATGATCAAAGCTCTGCGTGACAAAATAAATAATAACTATATAAACTAAAGTTATAAAAGTGGTTTTTTAAGTATGTATTTATAATTTATGTTTAAGTTTGAAGTTTTTCTATAAATCACATAACGAATAGAGACTAATATAATTTAATATTAATCATTGAAATGAATTACAATACGAAAAATATGATTCAAATATTTTTATTTGTATTGAAATCGGTTTTGGTTGTATTAATAAGTTGTTATTCGTAAGAAATTTAAGAATGAAATACACTTGTCTGTATGTATTATTCAAATTAAATTTCCTACTAAATTTGTTTAATCATAAACAACAAAGTAAATCGATCTGGGTTTTTATAAATATTAAATATTTCTTATTGTATTAAACCTATTCCAACTAATGCAGTAATTCATTTCTATATCGTACAACCATCTTATAATAGTTTTATGTTATTTTCAAGTTTCAAAAATATGGCGACATAAAAATATGTGCTACAAGTTGGGTTAGACGTAACGTTGGATTGGCAGTATCGTTTTACTTATTTTTTTTTTGGTTTTTATTATTTGAAACCATACTATACGATGAGGTAGTGAAATACTCGAATTCCAACAGTCTATTAGATTTCACAAACACGCACTAGGGTAGTGGGCTAACTAACTGTACATGAATACTTAATGTGCAATGCAACGCGAATTGATTAACGTTTGACATGGAGAAAGAGAAGTATTAGCGCATGAGAGAATATCCTAAAATATTAGCATTGCCTAATATTATTGGTACAGAGAACGAGCGCATATAGATATCTAATCATAAAATGTGCTATAGTGAAGAGAATAAATATATATATAAAGAAGAGAAAAAAAAGTCGAACCGGTTTCGTGGTACGATCTCGGGAGTTTTTTTTTTTATTTCCATCCGACCGGTTTCGTAGCGAGCATATGCTTCTGCTTAAATAAGCGGTCGGGCCGAAAAAAAAATTCGGTCTTCGGGAAACTTGGATACTATTTAAATACACGAGGAGACGAAGGAAAAAAAAACCAAAATTACGTATGGGAGATCTCAATTGTGTGTACACTGTGCATGCGTAATTAATTATGATGTTATGTTAATGAAACAGCGGTAAAAATCGCTTATTTGTTGCCGTTTCAGGTGATAAATTTCGACTGGTGTTGGCCACGACGTTACGCGAGGACGGACAGCCGGACGCGGGTGATTGGAATCCCATCGAAATGGATCAGAACGGTTGTCGGGCCGACAGTTTCGAGTACGTGATGTACGGGAAGATTTATCGCATCGACGGCGACGACAAGGTGAAAGAGTCGCACAAAAACAAACTGTGAGTACAATGCATATATAACCTATGGCAATCGATTACGTATTACATGATAACAGTAAAAAAACAATAAACGCGTTTCGACTGTGCGTGCGAAGCGCAGCACGCAATACCGAACGATAAAATGTCGCTAAGACTCGCGCGCACAGGGCCGCCGACTGGAAATGAGAATGCGTGTTGTCGACGAAACAGAAATAAGTGGACGAGCTGAATTATCATAATATACGCTATCAGTTTTCAGTGAAGCTTTATCACATTGCGTCATACGGTTTTCCGAAACAAACGGTCGCTAGAGCCCTCGCGCTCACGATGTTCACAATTCGTATTGTACCAATCGTAATAACAATAATCATCATAAATATTGTTGCTGTCACCCCGATCGGGGAACTCGGTGTGGAGGTATTCATTTGTTTTTTTCTGCACTTTTGATAATGACACACGTCGCGCGCATTACAAAACGCACGTCGTTTTTTAAGACGTCCCCCCCCCCGAAACTCGCCGAGCAGAGCTGTAGGCACTCGTCACGATAGTAATAGTAGTAGTAGTAGTAGTAGTAGTAGTAGTAGTAGTAGTAGCAGCAGTAGTAGCAGTTGTAGTGGGTACTCGGAGTATAATAGTAGTAGTGGTAATAGTAAATAGTAAGAAGTAGTAGTAGTGGTGTTTTTAGTCTTAGTTTTAGGTACATCGTGTGTGGTTGTTGGCTCGGATTATTTTTCGGGTTTTTTTTTCCTCTTCCTAAATGGTATATACAGCGCTATCTGTGTATGCGTAACACACGGTACGCGCGCTGCCGACAACCGACGACAGATCACGCTGGCAGTACGACCGTAACCGACCGACGACGACGACGATGACAACATTCCTCAAGTTCGCTTCTTTACTCTTCTGTTGTGTGGGACTGGGAACCTCGCTGTGTTAACTTGTCATTATATTGTTTCGATTTTATTCGACGAAATCAGAGTGAACACAGCTGGTGGTATCTCAGTCTCATCGCAGAACAATATCTACGGACGAGAAAACGGCGACGACGACCTCGTTTTTATAAAATGTTTAGTAACGTACACCGACAGACGAGTGCAATTTTAACAACCATGTAATATTCGTATGCGATAGAGAATAGAAAATACATCTAATATTGTCGTTAATGGGACATTGTAATTGTATTTTGTTTTTATTTTTGTTAATATTATTTTATGATATCTCGTTGACGATATCCGTTCGTCTCCGACTGACGTGTTACGCGTTTCTTATAATAATACACAATACCTATGTTTACATTAAGAATCTTAATATTGTATAATAAATATTAGCTAGAAAATGTTTAATATTTTCTGGTCCAGTCTCAAGTTATTACGCGTTGCCATAACTACGATGTAACGTACGATTGGATGGGTTTAGTTTGCCAGTGAGTAATAATATTGCTATGAAATGCGAAAATGAAACGCCCGTCATCATTGTCACAATAAAATACTCCGTGTTCATTGATATTGTAACTTGAAAGAGTTATCTTTCGTGGTACGATTAATCAGACGCTCGTATGTGAGAACTCTTTCGTCTTCCGTTTATAACCTATTTTTTTCCCCTATTATCTCTTGTGTAATAAAAAAAAATAACATTATCATCCGTCGCAATGGTGTGTAAATTGTTTTTTTTGCGTTCCGACCCGACACTCACGTTTCGCGCGCATTAATTAAAACGATAAAAATATTATATTCCTCAGGATTATACTTGTATAATATTTTTATTGTAATCCGCGATGTTTATGATATTAATTTTTACATATACGTATGTCTTTAGACGTTTACGAGCGAATAACTAATAACGTTATATTTTCTACATTCAGTGTCGTATCCGGTCGCCAATGCTCGCGCTCGTTTTCTCCGTCAAATTTTTTCACCCGTTTGAATTTCATGTGCAAGCGAACGGCTAGAATTATTACCACGATTAAATGATCATCAAGAATATTGGGAAACCAGCAGTTTGGAATAATACGTATCGCATTTGTGTACCGTATTATTATGCGCCCGATGCCGCCAATGTTCCGCTCTTGGTTTATTTGACTGTACATTATAATTAAATATATTTACCGTTAGACATCTTAACTCATTCGGTTAGTGGCATACATGGATATGTGTGTGTGTGTGTGTGTGTGTGTGTGGGTACGAGTTGCAGTCAGCGATTAATTTTCAAGTGTTTATTATGCATACACTCTTACTCATGTGTAAAACAGACTCCAATCGAATTCAAGTGATTATTTTTAAATAATAAATAACTATTAACCATTTGGTTATTTAAAACAATTATAATATTCTGTAAATATATTATATGATTACTGATAAATTGCAATTTTATTGGGTTTTTACTGTTTAATTTTAATTTATACCATCGATTATATTGTTTTGTATTTACTTGTTTATGAAACTCATATTAATATTTTAACTCAAAAATTTTATAGTGTTTTTATTGTACAGTTTATATTCCACTTTAATTTTTGTTGATTTTTTTTTTTTTTTTTATAAAAAGACTATACTTCCGGGTTCGGCAACCTTTTCATAGGAGGAAGCTATATTTTTTAAAAAGTTATAGAACCATGATGGTCTAAGCATTGGTTTTGAACAACTATTTTTTTTTAACTATACACATGACTTACATACTAAAGAAAAACATTTCGATTTTAATGCGTATCCTAAAGATCCGCAGACTGCCGACTCCTGGTTTGAATGAATAGTCAGTGGTCAGTAAAAAATAAATGAGTTTAAATTTAAGATATGGTACAATAATTTATGATATTACTTTAATTTTCATTGAAATAATACTTTGACATCGTTCTGTGACAAATTCTTAGGTTATTGTTATGAAATTATTATAAAAGTACTGATTCATTTTTCGCTTAGAAATAATGCAATATATGTAATGTGGGTTTTGAATTGACTAAAGTAAAATATTTTTCTAAAATAATAAATTTCATAAATTGTAATTACTAGTAAATCTATTCGTGTATAAGGTAGTCATTGATGGGTTCAGAATTATTTATCGTTTTGTACTTATCGTATTCTTTTAAATTCAAACTTTAACTAAGTTGCGTTTTTCAAAATATAAATTATTGTTCGATTAAATTTTGTTCATGATTCCAAATAATAAATCAATTTATCATCATTATCTTTAATCTGTAAAACATTATGAATTTAAAACAAACGTCTCAAGCGTTATTAATTTAATGAAAATTAACAACGACTATAACTTATATTTTCCAAGACAAATTCGTTTTATAGGTACCCTCATACATTTTTAATAATAATTTTGATATTTGAGTGAATTCTGTATTAATTATTTTAATTTTATTGTATTATTAGTGATAACGTATAAATATATTTATATAAGTCACGTTTTATGTAACATTTTACACAAAATTGTTAGTAAAATAACTGCTATTCAAAGATGCTAATTTCCAATTTATTGTATTAAAAGTTAACGGATTCGTTTCAGATAAAATAATACCGAAAATTACGTAAATTGTTTTATTTTGTCGAAAATTTTAAATTATTTTATATCTATTTTTAGATTGAAGTTTCACTATTTTTGAAAACAACTTATTCTATATTTGTTTATTCCCTCAAAACAGAGTTGTTGACTAGTTACATACTCACTGTACAACTAATATACGTCAATAATACAGTTTGCAGTAATTGTGAGTTCCTGGAAAAAAAAAAAACACTTAATTTTTATTTAATTATAGTCAAGTGATTTTATTAAAAGAAATATTTCTACAATTGTCACTAATGGAATATCAAACATACGTCAATTACATGTTTATAACAATTTAATTGCTATTTTAATAATTTAATGTTAATTTATACCAAAACTACTTTAATAAATTTAATTTAAAGAAATTGCATGCCTATTCCTTGGTATAAATTTAAAAATTTTAATACATTTTTATCATAGAAAAATTCTTTACGTACAATATTTAATTGCCAGATGGTCAATTATTATACTTTGCTTTCTTCAATAAATATTCATAGTAATCCTCATTTTATGTTAATATGATTTTTAAAAACAATTATACATTTTGTAAATTATATTATATTATAATACTGTTGTTTGTAAAACTACTTTTTAAACATTTCACATTCAATTTAATTACCTATGATCATTACCTATTCACTGTTCACTCCAAGTGACAAGCTTAACTCCATATAGATGACTAATTGGCATTTTTAATATATATTCCTTTATTTATTATGTACATTTCCTTTACCAATATAATCTAAGCTTGATGAGGCTAGATTTAAATTATTATACATTATAATTATAATAGCCTTATTCTTCATTAAAATAAATTATAAATGTCTTTATAATTATCGTAGATATTAAATTTCCAATTAACTTTTTACAAATCTTAATATAACAGTATTTTTGACTTTTGTTTTTAATAGCTGTATAAAATATATCTTTTTTAAAGTAAAAAAATGTCAATTAAAATTATTATCTTCATATTACATTTCCTGATATTTTTTTATAAAATAATTGACTGTTTCTATAATAATTAAAATTATATTAAAAATATACGAAAATTATGTTAGGAAAAAAATGAGTTTTACACATGGTAGATACGAGTATTTAGATTTTGCAATAAATAAACGTCTATTGTTATTTACTATTAAAAATTATATTTATAATTATTTTTGTAAAAATGAAACCTATTTTTTTCATTACATATATAACTGTATTTAAATTAAATATTTAGGATATTTATATGACTGTCCCGAAAGGCTAGTGGAATGTGTGGAATGAAAAACTGTGTATCAGGAACGAAGCAATAAATTGTTTTGAATTTATAGCGTTAAGTAATTTGTTCAGTAATGTATAAAACCAACAGAGAAAAGCCCTAAATTAAAATAACTGAGATCGTCTAATTTTAAATGTGTAACAATTTTCTCTTATTTAAAAATGTTTTCGTTGTTTTTTTTTGTTAATTTAATATAATGTAAAAGACTACTTTG